ATGAAGATCTGATCAGCTGAATTAGCAACTTTATTATATTAATGCATGACTGTATATAGTATCAATATTTATCTTTTTATGTAAATGTTAAATAAGATTCTTTATTATTAATAAATAAATAATAAGATTTTCAAATATCTTGATATAATTTATTAAAAAAAATAAAAGCAGAATTTATAATAAAGTATTTATTTTTATTTCTTATATTATAAAAAAAGAAGATTAAAATCTAACAATTAATAATATCATGATAATTATTATTAAAAAGGAAGATATTTTAAAAATTTAGTTCAATTTACCAAGAAATATTATAATTAGTTTAATCAAATTATTTTTCTTGAAGATTAAGATAATTTTGTTTATAAATTAATTTTTAGTTATTAATATAATATAATATCTTATATTTTAGAAAAATAAATAAAGTATATTTAAAAATAATCTGAAGTTTTAGTAATATATTATATTTAATGTATTACTAATTTTTATATAAATCAGATTTTAAATATTCAAATCTTAATAAGATAAGAATTTTGTTTACAAAGTTTTTATTATTAAAGTTTTTATATAGTTAAAAGTAAAATTATAAGTTAAAAGATCATAAAAAACTTAATAATTATTTGATATTTTAATTTTTAATTAAATTTAAAGTTAAAAAACTGTTGAAATAAAAAAGATACTTTATAGATTTTTAAATTAAAGATTTAATTATTTTTGTAAATAATATAATTATATTTATATTATAGATATTTTATATATTCTTTAATTAAGCAAATATTTTACTTAACTTATAAATTTTTATTTCTTTTTTAAGCTATTAAAAAATATAAGAAGATAAATAATATTTTTAATTATTAAATAATAATATATAATAAAATTTTTAATAATTTTTGCAATAAGATTTGTATCTTGATTTTTATATTTGATAATACAAATAAATTAATTATATATTATTTAATATTTATAAATTATTATTTATTACATCTAAAGATTGCTTATCTAAACTCATTTTGGATTTGGCAAAATGTTTTAAACTATAGTTTCACTAATTTTTATTAAGGTTTTGATATAGTTTTACATTTTTATAAACTTTGATATAGTTTTACCTTTTCTAAAATTTCACAGATTTTTTAATAAAATTTTAATATAATTTCACTAAATTTTATCTTTTTTCATTTAGATGATTTATAAAACTTTTAGATTTTATCCAACAACCTTATCTATCACATAGTTATTACATAAGTAATTTATATATAATACATCTATATACAAATAAAAATTTTCTATTTTTAATATCCTTATTAATATTTTTTGATATATTAAAAATTTAACATTATTAATATATTATTAAATTAATTTTAATAAGAATATAAATATTTATAAGAGTTATAACTTTAGTTATAATATTAATTAGCTATAAAAAGATTATAATATATATCTTTATTTTTACTTAAATATAAATATCTTACATTTTTAAAAATATCAAAATAATTTGCAACAAGTTCATCATTAAATTTAAGTTTTCTAATAATTTTCAATAAAATTTACTAACTATTATAGATTTTTCTTAATCTTTTTTTTAAAATAGTAGTTTATCTAGTAAAATCCAAATGATTAGACAATTATTATCAATATAAAAGAAGATACTCATCATATATAACTAAAATATAAAATTTTTCTTTACTTTCAAATTTTAAAAGAATCATTTATATTTTATCATTAATAAATATTAATATTAATCTTTTATAATTCATCATAACTTCTAAAATTTTTTAATATTATAATATATCTTTATATTTATATCTATTATCTTTTTTTTATAATTATGAAACTAAACTTAACTTATCAAATTATATTCTTACAGTTTTTTTGATATTAAATTTATATGTAATTGTTATATTTATTTATAAAAAAAGTTTTATTATCACAAATTCTTTATATTCTTTAAGTGTTATTTTTTACTATTAATATAAATATACACCAAATTACAATTAATGATATCTTTATCATCAATTATTGACTTAGTTTTTAATAATAGTTTTATAATAAAATAGATAATAAATTATATTCAATCTAATAATTATCTAATTTATGAATAACTCTAAATCTGTAAATTTCTTTATTATAAATTTTCTTTAATAGTTTTTTACTTACTTTAATTTGTATTAAATAATTTTTTTTCTAATATTTAAAAAATATATATATAAACTGATATTTTAAATAATTATATATATTCTAATTTTTTGATTATTTTAAATAATATATTCCAATTTATATAATTTAGGTTAAAATTATCATTATTAATATTTTGTAATTTATCAACTATAATTCTTTTTTTAATATACTCTCATTATTTATTTATTATCTGTATTTTTTTTTTCTAATATAATATTTTCATTTATTAAATTAAATTAATTTAAATTATCCATTTTAATTTAATTCTAATAATTTAAATATCTATATAAACTAATATATCATTATCATCTAAAACTGTTTTAGCATCAGATTTATTTTATTTATTTTATTTATTTATTAAATTTATAATAAGTTTATTCTCAACTAGTTTAAATAAATTAGTAAATGACTTTATCCTTTTTATTGTTACTGTAAATTTTTTTTAACTTATATTTATAATAATATATTATTGTTAAATTATTAATATATAATATTCTTTTTTTTGTTTAAGTTCTGTAATATTAGTTTATATTAATTAAATTCAGATAAGTATTTTATTCTTTGATTCATAAACTATCAGAATCATAATTATTTTTTTTCAAAATAATCATTATCAGATTCATTAAATTCAAGATTATCATTTTTTCTATGTTTATTAAATATAAATAAAATATATAATAATAATATAATTTTTGAAAAAAAAAGCAATGTTTATAAGTATTTGTTTATTTATTTGTTAAAATTTACTTTTAACTTAATATATAAAAATTAATCTAAAATTTTAATTTTAATTCAGTTCAAATTGCATAAAAATCAATCCAAAAATTTTGGTTAATTCATTTTAAATAAATGATAAAACTTATTCAATTAGAATGATAAAAATATTATTCTAAATAAACAATAAAAAATCATTTGATTAAAATAAAAAAATATCATTTCAAATGAATGATAAATGAATTATTTTCATAAATTTATTATCAAATATTTTTTCAATTTCAGTTTTTATAATTAATTTTAGATAAATTTAATATAGCATAACTTTATTATTATTGAAAATATTAAAATTCTAATTCAAAATTCTTAAAGCATAATTCATAGTTTATTTAACGTTAATAATATAATTATTATATAAAAATTATAATTTTTTTTAGAAAATTTAAGTTTATTTTTAAATAATTTAATTTTAAAATTAAGTTTTTAAATATTTACTTATAGATTAAATTTTCAATTTTATATATAATAAAACTTTTTTTTTATATTTTAAATTTATTACATTTTTATTATAAAACGTTTCTAATATAAAGATTCTACACTATAGAATTATTATATTAAGTTATTAATATTTAGAAATTTAAGATTTTATTATACATATGAAGTTTATTTTTAGTTAGTAAACTTTATAACTGACTTATATAATAATATGAAAAAAATAACTTTAACTTAAGATTAAATATGATAATTCTTAATAGGATTTTTGATTTCTTTTATTTATAAAAATAATAGTTATTACCATATATTTCTGAGAATAAACAATATGTAATATGCTTTTTTATAATAATTTTTTTTATTAGTCACATGTTTTATTATATTATTCGTCACATGAATACTAATTAATAAATATTTATCATGTGTTACTTATTTTTAGAAGAATACAGTAAGTATATATCTAATAGATTTATTAAAGAAAAATTAATTTGTCAATTTAAATAAATTTGTAATATTATTAAAAGAAATAGTTAAAATTTATAGATAGATTTTTAATAATGTATTTTTAATTATCTAAAATGAAGTATAGGACATTATATTTTTAGGAAATAATGTGAAAATTTTATGATCACATAAGTATTTCTTTTGTCTTGTTATGTATACAATAAGATCAATAAATAAAAATTAAATAAAAAATAAATAATAATAATAATAATAATTATAAAATTTTTTTTTAGATATTTAATTAATTTATTTATTTATATTTATTGATTTTAAATAAAAAATTTCACCTAAATTATATAAGAGATTTTTGAAATCCTCCTATCATATATAAAATTTTTGATATTAATAATGCATATTTATTAAATTTTACTTATGACCTATCTTATAAGATTTTAGGTTTTTATCCTATTGGATAATAAATAATATAAAGTCATATAATTATAGAAAAAAATATTAGATTAAATTACTATCTCAGATAGCTTAAAAATTTTTTTACTTCACATGATTTTTTAACTACTAGAAACTTGAAAATTTTTTTGGTAATGAAAAAAATATTTTTTACCTGCTTATATCACCAGTTATATAAGGAATAAAATTTTATTTAGAAACTTTTGATAATACTAGAATTAGATTTATAATTATAATATTTTTAATATTTTTTTATATTTATGATACATTATTCTCTTTTTTATTTAAAATATAGTCAACTTCCTATATAGTCACACCCTCAGGACCAAAAATATTTGGTATGATTATAAAAAAGTTATATGATATAAATATAGAAGAGGATTTTTAATAAGTTTATTATTAGCTTTAGTCTAATAAAATGTGCTTATAAGAGAGGAGTGACTATATAAGAGGTTGACTGTATTTAGTTTAGGATAACATTTAAGTTTTTAATAAAGTGTTGGGCATGGTTTAGGATGTTACCGAAAGGGTGAGATTGGGATCTTAATTAATTGGCCACGTGACGTACAGAATTCATTTTTTTGAAGATTAAGATAATTTGGGAATGATCGGCAATATAGAAAATTTTTTTGACTTATTTGGTAATTCGTTTAATTCAAATTTTTAGTTAAAAAGTTCGTTTTTATTTAAATCATCTCAAACGTAACATCATGCCACCACAAGAAACAACAAGCGATATAGTTCCGCTAATGCAAAAGCCTAATTCGGAGGAAGCTTCGACTACAGACGAAATTATAGACGATCCTAACGACGTTTCTCATGGTTTGGTTCATGATTTTGTAGAATTCGGTGATAAACTGATTGAAGCTGAAGTTGATACTGGCGAGGTACAAACAAAATTTAGCTGGAAGAAACTGTGGAAATATACAGGGCCTGGTAACTTTTTTTCCCATTTTACGTGCTGTTCATTGTTTTTATATTGAGGCATGCTCTTTAACAAAGTTATATAAGGGTGGGGTTTAATAATATATTTCATTTATTTATTTATTTTTTTTTGTTAAATCATATTATTTATATACAATAATAATAATATCTGTATATGTGTATATATTTTGCTTTTTAAAAGGCTTCTTAATGTCCGTAGCATATTTGGATCCTGGAAATTTAGAAGCAGATTTGCAAAGTGGAGCAGCGGCCGGTTATTCTTTGCTGTGGATTTTATTATACGCTCATATTGCCGGTTTATTAATCCAGATTCTTTCGGCCCGCTGTGGAGTTGTAACTGGCAAACATCTTGCACAACTCATCAGAATTCATTATTCAACACCTATATCGATAGTACTTTGGTTATTTACGGAGATTGCAATTATTGGTTCAGATATTCAGGAGATAGTCGGTACTGCTATTGCCATTAAAATCCTTTTTGGTTTACCCTTATGGGTTGGAACAATGTTAACCGCCATGGATACCTTCCTATTTATGCTATTACATAATTATGGCGTAAGAAAACTAGAAGCGTTTTTTATGACGTTGATTGCCTTTATGGCTGTTTGTTTTTGGGTTGAAATGTTTCAAAGTGAGCCAAATGTAGGAGAGATAGTTAAAGGAATGTTAATTCCCGCTGTTCCACGTGGCGCTGTTGTACAAGCTGTAGCAATGATTGGTGCTGGTATGAATTATTTAATTGAATTTAACCGCAAATCATAAAAAAAATTTCCTTAACAGTTTTTTTTTAATGTTTCAATTAGTTATCATGCCACATAATTTATATCTTCACTCAGCGTTAGTTATGACACGTAAAACGGATCCCAGCTCAAAAGCGAAACTCAAAGAAGCTAACTTTTATTTTTCAATTGAGAGTGCTTTAGCATTAAGTTGTTCATATCTCATCAATATGGCAATTGTAGTTGTTTTTGCTCGAGTTTTTTACATTCCTGGTAAATTAAAAGCTTTACCAGGATTGTATGATGCTGCAGATGTTTTAACAAAAACTTTAGGTAGAGGTGCAAGATACCTTTGGGCACTAGGACTCCTAAGTGCCGGACAAAGTTCCACAATGACAGGAACTTTAGCCGGCCAATATGTTGTTGAAGGATATTTTGGAAAGATTTTTTCAAAATCATGGCATCGTGTAGCCATCACTCGTGGTATCGCTTTGATGCCCTCCATGTTTGTTGCGGTATTCGCGGTAAGTTCATATAATATATTTTTTTTATTACGTTATTATTATTTTTTTTTTTATTGATTTATTTTTATCCAAAAAAAATAAAAAAAAGGTTGGACATTTTGATACAATGGGAGAACTATTAAATGTTCTTCAGAGCCTATGTCTTCCATGTGCATTAATTCCAATACTTAAGCTTACTAGCTCAAAGGAAGTGATGGGCCATACATTTAGATCTCATCATATTTGGAAATATATTACATGGGGATTAGCTTTTATTATTATTGGTTTTAATCTTTTCTTATTTATAATGTACCTAGAAGAATTACCAAATTTATATGTGGGTTATGTTTGTGGTATTATATATTTCGCCTTTGTCTTGTATCTTGCAATTCTGCCAATTGGTGAAAAGCAAGAAGATTTGGAAATTGATGAAATGGATGGATATAAAGTAATAGCAAATCGTTTGGAGATAGTTCAATGATTTGTTGATAAACAATTTCAATTGATTAATTTTAGTTACCTCTATATTATTAAAAGAACAATTTTGAATACTCCCCCCAAAAAATAGATGAAATTAATTTTAATATACTAATTAGTTTAATATTTTTAATTTATTATTGTAAATAACATTTTATTATTTATTTGTTTTTTTTTTTTTTATATCTTTGCAATTAATTTAACTTGACATCAAAATTATTTTTTACACCTATAATAAATTACGAACAACTATAAAATACTCAAATTTACGAAAAATATTTATAAATAATAGTGATAATAAGACAAATCTCATGTACACAACCATTAAATAATACCTGTATAATATATAATAAATTTATAAGGAAGCATAATTCAAAAAATATTAATGTTTTTTTTAAAATTAATTAACACGAATAATACACCAAAAATTTATTTTTTTATTAAATTTTATTTTAAACTTTTGACAACACTCAACTCAAAATAGGTAAAAACTATATAAATAAAAAATATAAAAGTATTTAATAACATTAGTTTGTTATTTAATTCAAAAAAAAAAAAAGCATTATGGTATCTTAAACTTACATTCCCAACTATGGCCAAAGGGATATCAAAAATATCTCGTTTAATTGTAAAACAAAAAGTACATGGTACTGGCATACCCGTAGGCCTCATTAGGATACAAGTGGTCATAACAGATTGTCTAGAATTATCGAACGCATGAGAAGCAAACTTTTCCCAATATTCTACAGCTGATTGATTATCCATAACCTTTGAAAATCATATACAGTACTATATGTTATTAATAAAATATATATATAATAAATTCATAGACATTATTATTGGGGTCGCACCTCATATATATAAGTTGTTTTTCCAAGTAATTGATCTTTTGTCCATTGAGTCAACAAAGAAAATTCTTTCCCCACTAAAGCAATTTCTCCAGTTCTACGCCAAACTACCGTTGGTGTACCAGAAAAACTTATTAATTTCTCAAATTCCTAATTTAAGTATATTTTAAGTAAGAAAGGAATTGTATAAAATTTATATCTGTGCTAAATTTAAAGAAACTACATACTAATATTGTTCTTTGAAAGCATTTTTCCATAAAAATTAAATCTTCTTCGGTGAGATTCATTATAAGTGCAATAAACGATGGTCTGAAAGTAGCTAATGCTCTAACGATTCGTTCTATGTGATCTTTATCCATTCTATCTCGGAAAAAATTTTTTTTTTTTTTTTTACAGATTAGAATGATTAAATATTTCAAAGTTTATAAATTTTGATATTCACTTAAACAATAATACATACCTATCTCTTACATACTTTACTAGTGAATGAAAACCTTCCGTATAAGAAAAGGGTTTCTTTACATTTGCATAAACATTTTCAGGAGTGTTAGATTGTGATTTTCTCTTTCCACTATTTTCTCTTTTAGTCCCTATCGTGGCACCGTTAATATTATTAGTCGGCGTTGTTGCCATAGTAGGACTTGTACGTTGTTGTTGTTGTTGTTGTTGTAAATGTGTGTTTTGTTGTTGCCAAGATTGATCCATCATTCCGATATCTGCAAACCCCGGATGTGTACCTATAGATTCTGAAGAAGCCGTTGATAACATATTACTTAGAATAGAATATTCAAGATTAACTGCTTCCGAACCAAAACCATAATTAGCCGGTGCGAGAGGATAACCTCCGGGACCAAATATTGAAGGGTCCACAAGGTTATTATTGCCTTAAAAGCAAACAAATCGAAATAAATACATCATTTGAAAAATGAAAATAAAAAAATAAAGATGACACAAAAAATGAAATTTATAAACTGTATAAAGTTTTCTATAGTGTTCTATATTAAAATCTTCACGTATTTAACCTCAAAAGTTTTATAAATATACTGGACGCGTGAAAATTCCATTAAATATTCATCTTTAAAATTTCATATTAAAATTTCGAAATACCTGGGTATTTCGAAATTGTGATACTCACTAGGATTTGTTTGAAATCCGTTATGCATAAATACTGTTTGGTTGGGTTGTGGCCCGACTATAAAGTAGCAAAATGATACACCAACACGTTTTAATTGTAATTCATCAGATTTTGTCTTTTTTTTTTAAAAAAAAAAAAAAAATTTTAAGTGAAGTTATTAAAAAATAAAAGATTAGTTGAATTTAAAAATGTTACGTACCAAATAATAAAGTGATCATAATTTGACATTGGTCCAGCGATGATTGTTGTTTTTTTGTATGTTCAATATTGAATCAGGTTCATTGTAATAAAATTTGAGATCGAGTATTTTAAAGTTAGTAAAGGTCAATATCTGTTGGTAGGATACTAACTAATATAATGATAGCCCTTTAAACGATAAACTATCTATAAATGAATCAATATTTCTTCTATAAAAATAAATTTTAATTTTCGCACCCTCATAATTTGAATCTTGTAAATATTTAGCCTTCTTGCGAATTCCGTCAGTACATGTTGCTGCTAAATCTCTTTTGATACATCGCTGACAGGGTCTAGCTAAATGGACGAGCACATTAAAAGGTGACAGGTTCAGGTTAGTTTAATTTTGACATTTTTATTTCTCTTACAAATTATACTCACAATCATCACAAGTCAAATGTGCTTTCTGACAATGAAAACAAGCCCTTGTAGCTTTTTTCCTTCGAATCGGGCTAGTCTCGTGTTCTGAACTTGAAGTTGGTGCACTTTCAGACATTATATTCATTGAATTATTGTAAATAATTATAAAGTAAGAAATTTGGGAAATATCATGTACATTTATTGATATCATATGTAATTATAAATAACAGGTGACCATTATTAAAATAGTAACATATCACAAATATCACTTGATCTAAATTCACACTTTATCTAGACTTTTGTGCAATTGCGCAAATATAGAAATATATCTTTACTTCGTTTCGGATTAATTAATTTGATTAGTTAATAAAATCAATCAAGGGAATGATGATTCTTTATCCCTTAGGTTACAGGCAAATTTTTCTGCTTATTTACTATAAATTTCCTTCTGATTTACTTTTTTTTTAAAAAATTAATTTTATAAATATTTATTATATTATAATAGCATAATTATTATTGTATTTTCTTTCTTGTATTGTTACAACATGTGTAAAATCTACGTGCACAATGTGCACGTGCATATCAAAAATTTTTTGTGCTCATATAACCTCACAAAAATATGCATATTTTGCACATAAAAATTTTTTTCTTCATTTACTTCTTTCATTAAAGATTTTAGTAATTATAATTATAAAAAAAAATAATTTTTGGAATAGGATTCCTAGATTTAATCAAAAATAGTTATAGTTACTAGTTAAATCTTTTGTAATTATTTTTGATTTTTTTGTAAATAATATTATAATTTAATATTAAATATATTTGACATATCTTTTTAAGTTTATAATAGTATCCCCCTATAATATATTATATATATATTAGTCATCATTTTTTTGATAATTATCTTATATTGAATTATGTTAGAGTATACCCCTTCTGAATGTAATCTGATGATCTTTCTAAGTGAAATCATACTGATTTTTAAGAATTCATAATCTGCATAAGATCATTTAAGTCAAATGTCAATAAATCAGACTTAATAAGTTTTAATCTACTATAATGATGATAATAAATTTAAATTTTTGAATATATAATCTCAATTTTCTTGAGTTTTTCTTTATAAAAAATTTTATTTTAAAAAAATATTATAAATAATATGAATATTATTAATATTATTGATATTACAAAAGATATTATCAAAAATGATATATCTTATAAGAATGAAGAATTACTAAATATTAATTATAATTCATATTGATATATAATTATATTATTAAATATTAATATAATAAAATTTTATTTTAACTATCCACTAAATTTAACAAAGAGAATAAAATTATATATTTAATAATAGAAAGAATAAAAGTTAGTGAAATAAGAAATTTTGTGTTGTTAATAGAATATCTACTAACTTCTACTGAAGGAATTATTATGATATATAATATTAATACTTGCAATAATTATAAGTTAGTATTTAGTAATATAAGAATTAAATTAGTTTAAAATATTATAATATATTTTTAATAATTATACTTTTTTTGTAGATACAATACTTTCAAAAACATTTTTTTAGAAATAATAATATATCTATATAATATTTTTTCTTAAGATATGAAGTTATAAAGTATTATTATACATACTAAGATATAAAAACTTATAAATATCTTAGAAAAGATCTCAAAAATAAATTTTATATAAAAGTTAAAATAGATTAAAATTTATTAAAACACTTAATAAAATATCATTAAAACAAAAATCTTAAGAGGCTAAAATATATAAATACTTTATAATAAAAAAAAAGAAAATTACTAAAAAAATTTTTTTTAAATTAATATTAAATCTGAATTTATTTTTAATTACAGTCTACAACATAAATATCTAGAATTTTATCAATAATACAAAAAAGCTCCTATACTACCAATTTATATCTGATCAAAATAAAATCAAAATAGCAATTCTTTAGTATTTATAGATATAAAAATAATGCCTCAAAAATTTTATGTGATTATTTATCAATAAAAACTTAATCTATAGCGTCCATTTCAGTTTTTAAAATAAGACATTTAATTGTAAAAGAATTATAAGTTAAAAAATATATGAAAACCCTTTAAAATAATTAAAATAACTTATTATCTAAGCTTTACTATATATGATATTATAAACTTGTTAAAAAAACTGGAATATTAAATACTTACTTTGTTCTTATTCTTACTTTCAATAAACATCAAATATCTTAATTGTCTTATTTAAGTTAATAATGCAATATCTTCATCTTTAATAATAATGAACTTGAATAATATTTATTCAAATCTTAATATATTAATTTAAACTATCTAACACATTCTTAAAAATAAATTTAATTATATAGTTTGTAGATCACAAGCTATTTCTTTCTTAAACAAAATTATATTGAAGTATATCTACAGTTCCTAACGAAAAGAATGGCGGAAAGTTTTTTTTGAATAATAAAAGTTTTTAATAAATAACTTTCAAAATTTTTTTATTATCAAATGCTTTTGATTAAGGAATTATACATTCAAAAAATCAAAATATAAAAAGTATTCTCCTTCTC